TGACGACACTCCCGGAGCACTGGACCTCCAATGAGTCTTCTAGGATGCCTAGTCGGACTTGGTTGACCACCACTTCAGAGTCACCTTCCACTATCACATGAGTGAAGGATCTTGAGGCAACGATGTTGATAGCATTTAGAACGGCTAGGAGCTATGTCACGTTGGGGTTGACAACTCCCTGATGATGCAAACCGGATGCTAGCACCACATATCCGTCTGACCCACGAACAACAAGACCAGACGAAAACCCTGACTCACAAACAGCTGCATCAAAGTTGACCTTTAAATAGTCGTCTGGCGGAGGAACCGAGGTGACAGGAGGAGGGTTTGGTAGGAGTGACCAGCGAGGTGGAGGAGGGGGGAGAAAATTGGAGACTTCAAGGACCTGGTTGTAGAATTTTCTGGCTAGGGAACGGACATGAGGTTGGTAGAATTCAAAAGTCACTTTATTTATAGACTTTCAGATTCTCCAAAGTAAGTAGATGCACTGGAGAATGTGGAATGAGGAGGTCTTAGAGACCATGACATGTCACCACCATAGACTAAAGTTAATAGTCGGGGCGAAATCAATGAAGTTGCTCAATCCCACTAACGTCCACAACTTGGTGGCTAGGGGGCATTTTAAGAATAAGTATTCAATGATCTCTCGATATCTCCCGCAAATATGACATCGATTGAGGCAGTTAACTCCACGGGATTGTAGGGCCACTATTGCGGGGAGAATGACCTTGAGGCATTGCCATATGAAGAATTTAAGCTTAGGCGGAACTTGGATATTCCAAGTCTTTTTCCAAATGGGAGGGTCGATAATATGAACTATCGCTTTCTGACTTGAGGCCAGAGCCGATTCCAGAACTAGATGATAACCCGACTTGACTGTGTATTTTACATCTTTGGAGAAGTGCCATACTCTGGTATCCTATTGGTATAAAAGGAAGTGATGAGAGGATGAAAGAATTCAATGATGGGCGGATGAGTGCCTGAAATCCCTCTAGCATTTGTCCAGATAGGCGACTGTTTTGAATCAATGGGTTGATGATGGGGGCTTTAAATGTATGTTTGAATTTATTTATGAAACAATTCTGCCAAAGTAAGGTTTGTTAGATAGGGAGGCTCTTATTTGGTGGACTAGGTAAAGCTCAAATTTCGTTAGTAAAACGACTCTTTAGCAGCTTAGTTATTGCCTTTCCGACGCAAGTCGTTGTTAGGCATACTGTCTCGTTACCGGATTGTAGTAACCATCTTCTAAATTGTGTCTTGGCCGTGTTTTGGTTTGGATTTCCCCTTTTATCTCTCCTGTCTTTATGGCGGATGCAGAGGCCGCAAGAGGCTCTATTATTTGGAGCTTTAGATAGCTCTACCTCGTCATTTATTAGATGATTTAAAAGCCCAATTAAGGTGTTTCCTGCGCAAGCCGTTTCATGGTGTATTGTCGTGTAACCGATAGAAGGAATAATGACATTAATTCCATTAAAACTTGTTTTGAATGTGATTTGCAGGTGGTGGCGGTCATAAGGGAGGTTGAATGGGTTTCAGTGATCCTCCGGTGAGAATGCGAGGATTCTTCGTTGTCTTCAACACCAACAACTTGTTCCCGGAAGAAACCTAAAAATCGCCTTCTTCTTCAACCAGCAACAACAACGGCAACGACTTGCACATTTTTTTAATATGTTGGTGATGGATGATGACACCAGAGAAGAGGAAAGAGATGAAGTGGCACCGCTGTTGGGAGATCTACGTTCCCGGATGTTGTCTAGGTAGCAGTAACGCCGGCCAGAAAGCCAGAAACTGGTGGCCAAAACCTCCCCTGTTCTCTTCCCTCCTCAAATGGTTGACACTTTAAAGCTTCGCCCCCATTTTTTTCATCCTCGCCAATCTCCATAGACCTCACAAAACTCCGGCGGTTGTCTAAGTTTTGTTAGTCATCCTCATTGATTCCGAAGCAAAACCCACAGACAAGCTTAGAGTTGAAGATCAGGAAGAACATCGGTTGCTGGATCTGTACCAAAACGCGACAAACAAAGTAATCGGCACCGGATATGTACCAAAAAGCGACGGCGATCGAGTGGACATAAGAAGACGACGATGGCTAGCAAAAATCCTTCCATCCCTGGCCATTCCAAGATGGGCGACTGCAAATTTTTAGTTCAGCAGCTCACATGTGTTGCACGATAATCTCAATGACTGAGCACTCTATAGTAGCGACTTCTCTAAAAAATGAGCATTTGACCATTTTGTGTCTCACAAGGATTACAATCTTCTATTCCCGTTTGGATTTGGTCTCACAACTCGACGGATCATCCACCATTTGAAATAATTTTTCTTTTAGTAGGTGAACTGAATCTAGATAATTAGAATAGATGTTAAGATTTTACTAGGTAAACTGAAATTAGAATTAAATATGAAAGTGATGAATAAGTTTTTGGCACTATAGGGTGGTGATCGAAGTTATCAAATTCGATGTACAACCTGTTTGGTAAATTGGAATCCACTTTATGAATCGTACCTCAGTGATGCGGGTTGATTAGTGTTAGACCATTGGTCCCTATACCGTTGATCCATGTTTGATCACTACGCTCATTAAACATTGACGACCCAAGACATCGACTTTTCACTTGTTGTTTGTTAAGTCTACGATTACTTTAGAGGATATTGCGACACTTGCCCCTAGGTCCTGCTTCAGGATGTTGTGGCCTCGTCTGTGTTCTTCATGTTCTGTATCCAACTTGGAGAAATCTAAATAATAAATAATCGGGGGATATTTTGGCCGAAAATTGACTTAAAAGACACTTTGAGCATAACTTTCAAATAATACAGTCATGACCAACTTTTAAATGAAAGGGACAGATTTGGCTCGTTTTCTAAATTGACCATCAAAATTGGGGTAAACTATTTTTTTCAGCCTGTGGCTCAGCATTCTATGTTATGTTGAAAGGGGTCCACGTCATTTGCTATTACTATTTACTTTTTTTTTCGAATAAGTCATTTTAATTAATAAAACAAAATTGAATAAGAAAAAGAAGTAAGGATCGTCTCTTCCTTATCATCTTCTACTCTCTCTCGTCTCCTCCCCGGATCCCCCAAACCTTGCCTGAGCATCTTCCAAACAAAATTAAGCGTAGGGGATATCAAGACCAAAATCGTACAAACTTAACAAGTCAATTTGATCATAATCGAGTCAATTTTCCTGGCGAATATTAACGAAATCTTCTGTGACGATCATCCTTGATTGTAAAAAGAAAGAAGTACAACTTTAAAGTTAGGGAGTGAATTAGATATTGGGCCAACAACTATAAGTAGCCCACTCATTCTATTGTAACGGTCATCTAATCTATAACAATAGAATTCTCCTCATCTCTCTCTATCTCTCTACTTTTTGTCCCTTTCTCTCTGTTTATATTCCTTTCTCAGATGCCAAACACCTGCAGGACATCGACGATCAAGTCAGGGAATCTTTGGTATCAGAGCTGACTTGGCACCATGACGATTGTCCATTAGCTTGATGATCGCCTCAATGCCTTCTCCACCCGTACTATTGAAGCTGAATCTTCTCTCAGCACGCAAATCACGACTTTGGAAGATCAAAATCAAGCTCATTCCAATCAATTGCTAGAGCTTATGGCTCGATCTAGGGGCCTACTCACCAATTCACGACTATTACTACTCGCTGGGATGGAATGGAGGATCGTGATATAGCTCATTTTATGCAATTCAATTAGATCCAACAGAATGTTCAAGAAATTCTTCATCGGTTGGACGTCGTGCAACATAGTCCATATTTGTTGGTCGTCGGCGAGGGGAATTAACAAGTCGCTCACAATGACGATCGAGGACTTTTGTGATAGAGCCCGGGATTAGGGTTCTATCGGGAATTGGAGATTTAGGGATTAAGAACAGAATTAGGGATTTGAGAAGAGAAAGATAGAGAATCGGCCTAGGCCTTTAGAGAGATTGGGAACGAGAATTGAGAGGATAGGGAGATTAGGGTTTAGGAGAGTTTTCTTAATATTCTTCTGATTGATTCTGAATGAAAACCCAAAGTACATATATATAGGAAATAGTGGAAAACCCTAACAATAAACCTAATTCTATTAAATGACTACTAACCTTATTGATAATTACCCAAATAATAATTATTATATTAATAATTAGAGAAACCCTACAGGATTCGGTTTCTATCATCTCCTCCCCCTTCAGACCAACCTTGTCCTCAAGGTTGACCGACTTCACCCACTCTCCCTTCCTTCCCGTCCAATCCGCACGCTGACTCCTCCCTTTTCGGCGCTTCCGTTTCTTCCAATCGTGATCTAGATCCAATAATTGGCTTCTTCCACCAACCTTCTTGTGCTGATTTAATTCTTTGACTTTCACTTCTATGGGCTCACTACTCGCTTCATTGATAAATTCGAACTTCATCATCTCCGCTTTTGTTGGCCTCCCAATCCCATAACTCAAGGAACCCGACGGTTCATTCTTGTTCAAGAATCCATCCCTGAGTACTAACTCATCAAGACCTACAAATATCTTTCTTGGGACTAGCCTATAAGTTTCTCCAATTGCATTTGGCTCATGCTCCTTTGAAAGCCCACCAAATAAGCTTGCAAAACCATCTTCATTTTCCTCTCTGTCCATCCATAGAATAGTTCTGGTCGGCCCAATTAATGATGGCCCAATGCTCCATAAAAAATGAGGCTCACAGCTAATGGTGAAGCCCAATGCCACTTCTACGTTCGGGCCTTGCCACAGCCCTGGGTTGCCCCACTTTTCCACCCGATCCGGCCCACCACTTCTTTTATTTTTTGACCAGAGAATTATCCCGTCAGACTTAGGGTTAGGCCCATGATCACTCTCAATCTCAGCCCACTTGACTCCAAGTTGCAGTCCACTTTGTTGATCAGTGAGGCCCAAAGCAAGCCCACTCAGATTCTTCTCTCGGCCACCCGGAGCGCTGTACTCGGCCCATGACAAAACCCGACCCAACCTTCTTTGCTGAATTGGGCTCAACCCAGCTGTGCTGTGTGAATGGAGGTGGACTTAGGGTTTGCACGAAGAATGCCTCCACCGCCAACCTCCCTCTTCGTCTCACTCGTCGGCACCTCCTTCTCCGGCGACTCCTTTCCCAGCGACGCGAGTAGCAGCTTCCCGGCGCCGATCTCCTTCTCTTTCTTCTCCTTTCCTGGCGAGGGAACTCGGCCTCCCATACCCGCTTCTTCCAACGATCCGAACTGCTGCAGCCTGATGCGAGTCGAACGAGGATTTGCAAGGGGACAGTCGAGGATGCCTCGCTCCTCGACCTTCGGCGTCGCGCGAGAAAGCCCGCTGCCATCTCTTTCATTTTCCTTCTCCAGCGACTCGAGTAGCAGCTCGCCGGAGCCGACCTCCTTCTTCACTTCGTTCACCGGCGGCTCAACCCGGTGGGACGCCCAACGAGTTGCTGGCGTCTCCTCCTCATCGGCCGCCGCCGCCACCTTCTTCCCCGTTTCCTCTGACTCCAGCGTACACCCCAGCAGCCGATCGGGAGACCCGCTCTCCTCCGCCCTCCGCCTTGGGTCTCCTCCGCCTGACGTCGCAAAGGAAACGGACTCCCATCGCCGCGTCCCGCGCGCGAGTTGAAGCTCCGCCGTGTCCAGACAACGACGCGCCGTCGTCACCAGCGCCTCAGCCGGCGACGCTCCCTCCTGGCGCGCCATCGCCGCGATCACGCCGCCTGCGTCGGCCTCGGCCCGCGACCGTCGCGACTCGCCATCAGCCCGCGCCTCCAGCTTCGCCTCTGTTTCTTCTCGACGGTCAGCGCTGGCACCGCGCTTCTTCAATCCCTTCTTCTTTTCCGATGGCGTTTTATCCTCCAGCAGCTTCCGCCTCTGTTTCTTCTTCCTCCTCTTCTTGAATTTCCAGCCCTTGATTGGAATTGGAGTCATTATAGGGGCAGTCTGAACCTTCTCAACAGCCATTCATGGACGTTGATAAGATCCTTACATTTAGCAGCACCTTAGGATGGCCCTCAATTGGAATTGTGCTATTCGGTCATCTTCTTTGTTGTGCTGTGCTGGAAGAATAGCCGCAGTGGCCGGATCGGTGAAGGGTGATGCCTTGGTCTTCCCTTGCAACTGCGAGGCAGCAACGACGAGGATTAAAGGTGGTGCTAGTGATGATTCCTCGTCCGCGAAAACTGTTGGCAGGATGGCAGCGGCTGGAGGTATTGGGACATGGCCACAGTGGTCATCAAGCGTAGCGACTTGCTTCGGTGGAGGTGCAGCTGCAGCGACGGCCACGTTGGTCGATGGTGGTGGTGCTGATGAATCCTCCGACGACGACTCTAGCTGTTTGTGGGTCGCGCGACGGCGGGCTGCATGGCGCTCGAGTTTGGCTAGAAGGTCTTTCAGGCCTGCTATCATATAGTCGTCGTGAGCTTCCCTCCTAACTAAACTGGCTTGGAGAGCTTCAAACGTGTGATAGGGTTTCTGATAACAATTCCCTGGTGAGAGTTGTGATGAACTCAAATTTGTGACCATGGCTCTGATACCAATTGATAGAGCCCGGGATTAGGGTTCTATCATGAATTGGGGATTTAGGGATTAAGAACAGAATTAGGGATTTGAGAAGAGAAAGATAGAGAATCGGCCTAGGCCTTTAGAGAGATTGGGAACGAGAATCAAGAGGATAGGGAGATTAGGGTTTAGGAGAGTTTTCTTAATATTCTTCTTATTGATTCCGAATGAAAACCCAAAGTACATATATATAGGAAATAGTGGAAAACCCTAACAATAAACCTAATTCTATTAAATGACTACTAACATTATTGATAATTACCTTAATAATAATTATTATATTAATAATTAGAGAAACCCTACAGGAATCGGTTTCTATCATGTTGCCTCTTCATCATCAGCGGAATATCATCGCTGAACCTGAGAATCAACTGCCTCGAGGTCAAGCTTCGGAAAATCTAGAGGCTTAGCTAGGACAATTTAACGGTCCTCGAGGTAACAATCGAACTAATTGCCTCGCATGGACTTTCCTGTATTCAGTGGAGATAACCCCTAGAGATTGGACTCGGAAATGTGAGAAACTATTCGACATTATGTGTTCATAACTATCAAATATATGGTTTGAAGGATGGAAGTTTGGGAACCATGAATGGATTTGGGAAGCTTTTTTGTGGATTTGTGCCATCGCTTTGGTGATTGTGAGTATAGGGGTATTGTGGGGGAATTTAACAAGCTTCGTCAAAGAGGTTCCTTGATAGATTACTAGGAGAAATTTAGGAAATAAGTCCCAAATGGTTCGTTACAATCCTGCGTTAGGCGAGCAGTATTTCATCTTGAGTTTTGTGAGTGGGTTAGAGAAAGAACTAAGGCCAATGATCAAGATGTGACAGCCTAAAACTCTATTCCACATATTTCAGTTAGCCAACGAGAAGAGGCTTCCAACGAAGCTCCGAGGAAGAAGAAGTGGATTAATTGGTGAAATGGTCCATCGCCCGGATGGGAATGAAGTTCAATTCAAGTTCTCCAAATTATGAACAACCTCAAATGGACCGAAGTCATTCGCTTCAACATTGCCAAGGATAAACAATTGCTACAACATATATCAATCTAACCACAACTCCACAAGGCATCAATTCACAAAGAAATAGAATTTTCTGAAATCTAGATATTGTCAAAAACAAACCATCCTCCGAAAGAACCAAATTTCAGTTACAGTAGATTGTTTCAACCAAACACTCGGTCAGAATAGAATTGACCACACAGCAAGGCAAAAAAGTTGAGGTGAGCAATGTCAGACGCACTCGGTAAAATTCTAGGGCATAAATGAGCATCACGAGTTGCGGACCGGAACGAGCTTTCCTCCAAAGGCTCCTCAAAAGCAGATCGACTCTACAGTGAGTTAAAGAGCAGCATATTTTTCAGTCGGGGAGAATCTGCTCGCCATCAGCATCAGCTTCGGTCTCCACCTGTGGCTTGGATGGACCAGCCCCAGGGGCTTGTTTCTTCTTGATTCCACTAACAATGTCATCAATCCTCAAAAGCATGCAAGCTGCTTCTATCGCTGTCTTGAATGTTTGTGCCTTCACGTTGTAAGCATCCCATATCTGATACAACCACAACATTATCAGATTTATCAAACTTAACACTTATATATGTGTACTTGTAAATGCTCATTCGGCGAACAGGGAAGTCTTGATCTCTTTAAAAAGGAAGTTTCAGGGATAGCCTCCTATAATAAAATTTCCAGCCCAAATTTGAGATCTATAGGTATGCATGCTATTAAAAAGTTATATAACCAATTGGCCAAAGGCAACTTGACAATCCGCAGGAAAGAGGTCTCCCAATGTAAAAGATTCCAGAAAGACACTAGGAATATGAACCCGATACATACCTTCCTCTCTTTCATGTCAGTGATTTCACCGGTGTTCCCATCAATACCGATCCATGCATTCTCTCCATTTGCATGCTGAATTAGAAGTGGTGAAGCACAATTAACAAAACATTCATTGATATATACATACGAGATACAACACTAAATGCACAAAATGGAACAGGAGCTTACTAGCCCTTGCAACTCGGTCATTTTTCGGATCACGTTAACACCACAATTTTGGGCCAAAGTTCGTGGGATTGCCTCAAAAGCTATGGCTGCTGCTTCATAAGGCCACTGTGGTACAAACATCAAAAGGTCAGAAGATACCGTTATCTCTGAATCTATTGCAAAAGTTTCATGTCATCACATCACAGTTCCAAGCACCTTTTCAATGCCTTCAACAGAAGAACTCTTCTGCTTTAGTGTAGCAGATACAGTTAACTCGGTAGCACCACCTCCAGGAACAAGTTTTGGGTTCTTAAGTATGTTTCTGGCGACAGCCATAGCATCCTGTATCATGAAATGAAAATTCCTCAGAAACAAAAAAAGAAAAAATCACGTTGAGCACATTAGAAGTAACTAAAAAACAAACAAGTCTCAATAATTACCTGCAAGTTCCTTTCCACCTCATTGAGGAGATCCTTGCTAGCACCTCTCAAAAGAACCGTACATGCCTTTGGGTCCTGGCAGTCAACAATGAAGGAGAAGAACTCATCTCCAATTTTCTTAACCTCAAACAGCCCAGCTGCTGTACCAACATCAGATTCTTGCAACTCATCGGGTCTATTCACAATAACAGCCCCACATGCCTTTGCAATTCTGTTGTTGTCTGTCTTCCTCAACCTTCTGATTGCACTAACACCAGCCTTGCTCAGATAGTGGGTTGCCAAATCACTAAGACCCTTCTCGGTGATCACCAAGTCTGGTTTAAATTTTAGAATCTGGGTGCAGATATTTTCAATGTACTCCTCTTCCATTTTCAGCAGAAGTTCCCAGTCCTCTTCTTTAACCAGTTCAGCATTTGTCTGGTTCTCACCTTTCTTGTACTCCAGTGGACAATCAAGAAGAATGATACGTGGCTTAACAATCTTTCTCCTCATTTTCCCAGGGGCCACCACATCCTTATTAAACATAACACCTTTAAGAACTCTGGATTCCTCCAACTGGCTGCCAGGAACCTTCTCAACCTTGATATACTTCTTGATATCCACTTCCCGCATACCATGGCCAAGGTCAACACCAACAGTCGTGGTAGCATCAATTGCAAGATCCTTGAAATATCAAGTTATATAAAATATAATTAACGAATAGTATAGAAGATCCCATTCGAAGCTGAAAATTTGAAAATGAAGTATCACCACGTACATTATTTATCAAAGTTGGAGATCCACAACACATAATCCCATAAAAAGAAAATTGTATGAACGTGTATACCCATGTTATAACAAATTTCTGGATCCCATAGAAATTAGGCTTTTGAGCAACTTACAGCAATCAAATCTCCGAACTGACTAGTGAATTTCGTGCCAATACAGCTCTTCACTAGGCTCAACATTGTTCCACCTGTCACACATTCACAAGTCAGTTAATCAGAGACACATCCAATAATATATCACTGATTTCCCTTCTTTAATTAATATTTTCTTTGCCATTATAAAATTTAATGTATCACATAATTCTCTCCAACAGTATATACTTCACATTCTGCATACTGTTCAAGGACATATGGCAAAACATCACTCTGTGTTTATGTGCAATAGAGCTGAGCTACATAGAACTAAAAGTGAAGCTTTCAAACAGAACATAATGTAAAAAAAGAGTGTCCAGAAAGAACAAATTGCAACAGGCAGCCAATCAATATGACCACAGGCACACGTTGATAATGTACCATCCCAAGGATATTCTGGAATAAGAGATTAATTAAACAATCCTAAAGCAACTTACGGTCATTCACATCAATCGTCATAGCAATTTTATCCAGCACAGCAACAGCATCCTCCAGAGCTTTGTTGTATGCTGTGAGAAATCATAAATAGATAATAAAAAAAGGAATCCGCATGTGAAAGAAGCCACCTCACGTCCTTTAACTTACCTCGACATATGACAGTAGGATGATATCTTTTGTCAATGAAAGCTTCTGCAACATGTAGCATCTCCCCAGCTACAAAATGCAATTTATAAAAGAATATTCACATGAATACTACTTATGCATTTCACCAATATCAGAGAGGAATTGTAACCCTACCAAGAACGATAACAGATGTTGTTCCATCTCCCACTTCTTCATCTTGTGTACGGCTTAGCTCAATCATTGACTGTCAACAGTCAACGATATGGAGTCAGTACACAATTAGCCAGATAATGTATATCAACCTAGGAAAATGCTTGGGGGAAACATGGCAGGTACTATAGAAGTTGATAGTTTACAACTTAAAATCACAACATACTGTAAAGAAATGACATTGCAAATGATTGTTACAAGGAGCAAGGCAGACACTAAGTTAGGAACAATTTGACTGTAAATGCATCTTTATGCATTCAGTCTTTGCAAGTGCATGAACTAATATCACCACTATGCATAAATTGACGTGAGAGGAGTCAAAATGCATTTGTACCTTTGCTGCTGGATGAGCAATATCTAACTCACGCAAAATTGCGTTTCCGTCATTAGTAACAACGATTCCTGTCAGAAAAGAAAAACATCAGCATACTGCAGCCAAAAAATCACTAACTCCATAAAACTAATAAAAGGGAGGATATTATGAGCTGTACAAATAGGAAAAAGAAAAGGATAAAGTTAATTCATTATATCTTACAGTGGGTCTAACTACAAGAGATGCATATAAACACGAACTAAATCTTTTACACTTGAAGGAGGGGACCAGAGGGGTGATGAGGCAGGCGTATAAGGAGGAAAACAGAAGTAAGAAATGTGCTTTGCGAATGCGCATAAGAACCTAACAAGAGCAGGCAGCTCACCTCCAGAAGCGTCAAGCAACATCTTCAACATAGATCGAGGACCCAAGGTCGTGCGAATAATATCCGCAACAGCCTATAAAAATATTTTAGCTCAACATGTTACAAACCATACAGAAATATAGTTAGTAAAATAAACAAAACAAACAAGAAAACATAGAAACGGTAGAATAAAGCCATTATGATATCAGGTGCAAATTTTTAAAACTTCAAAACCAGGCAGAGTTGAATACAATGCCTCAGAACACGACTTTTCATCAACTAGTGAAGTACCACGTAAAGAACATTAATATCTCTTATAACATTGGCATCAGAAGAATTAAAGGCAATCGAGAACTAATGAGAGTCACACAGAAACCATTCGATGTAGCAATCTTGTATAGTTACCTTTGAGGCTTGGATATTAGCATGGTGGACCTTCTGTCCAGACTCGCGTTTCAAGGAGTCCTCTGTTCAGATTAACCAAATCAAGCGATATGTTACTGCTCATAGAAAAGCCTCCAGAGAAGCAAAACGAACAAGGATAAATCTCCAAATGCCGCTCAAAGCAGTTGGGAAAGTTCACAGATGGTAGAGCTGGAGACCCAGTGCTCGTTCGCAAGAACTCTAAAGAAACAACGCAACAAGAGGGTAAATAAGACATTTTTCAAGTAAGAGAGAGCAATCTTACTGAGAACAACAACCGGAGCATGCATCTTTTTCTTCTTGTACTTCTTCTTGCTAGGTACTGCAATGGGACGGAGTAAATAGAAATGACTCAGAATGCCACACAAACGAAAAAGAAATAAAAAAAAACCCTAACTGGGTAAACGAAATCAAGGTAAAAGTAAGTCACAAGCACCTCAGAGCTCACGATTTGTTCCTTCGAACTTGAAACCCGGTGCTTCCGTTTTTACTGTCAATATGAGCAGCAAATGTAGGGCGGTATCTGGGCAGAAGCGGCGGTGGGGTGCTCTAAGCTATGGAGATCGAGAACCTTCTCGTGCCGAAATAGATCTTTCGCGCCTCTTTCCTCCTCTCTGGGATTCCCTTTGCCAACTTCTCTCCGAGAAAAACCCTATGAAAATGAAATGAAACCCTTTTCTCTGTGTGTTTGTTTAATACCACCGCTAGACCTGCATTTTGGCACTTTAATTATTTGCGTACCAATTTTTCAAAATTCCACATAGGTACTAATGGGACGTTGGGTGGGTTTGAATTGAGTTCAATAGAGTTACGGATCAATCGGGTTGCGAGTCAATTAGCTTGTGACTCACAAGTGAAGAGGATTGCGGGTCAAGCGAGTCACGAGTCAAGTGGGATGCGGGTCACAAGTGAAGAGGATTGCGGGTCAAGCACGTTAATCTGGTTATGGGCCAAGCGAGTTACGGGTTAATCGATATGCGGGTTATTCGGGTCAATTTATATTGAATTGTACAAACAATTTCTAAACTTTAAGATAATTTATATGTCGCGATATCGAGCTTTACATTTCATAAAATCGATTGTCGTCAATACTAACTATCCAAATCTAAGACAAGTATACCCTAGATCGACGAAATAGTATAGTGATGAGCGACGTCGTATTCCAAGGGTCCTCTAGATCTATTATTGCTCCCGACCTCCACCTACTATATAGTCAAACGAGGTGGTTGATGGTTTAAGTGTGAAACAAACAAACAAAGAAACAAAGAAACAAAACTAACTACAAGGAATATAACAAGAGATAAAATGTTGTTTAGGCTGAATCCTTCTAGATATAGGTTGAAACCAAGGATTGAAATACCTTATCGTAGATCGTATCGAAAAAGTCAGCAGTAGGGTATTTGACTCGCACGAAACTACACCAGGAATTAATCCCGACTAGAGCCCAAGTTTTTAATCTCTAGCCGGGTGCAGTATAGGACAAGTATTTAATTGTCAACCCCGGGCCGATCCATGTACCCCTATTTCAATCGCTTAAGTTGTTATCTAGCAAAACAGTTTTGGGTTAGGTTGATTGTGATTTGGCCGTCTGAATTCCGATTCGAGAGTGAAGGTTTGGTAGTCCTTAGTCGATTAGGCCAAGAGAGCTACCTTGGTAGCATAATCTAAATTCCTTGGCCTAGAGACCGAGAGAATGATGTTCCATCACTAGCTACACTTCCCTTACAGTTCTCAATCACCTCCACCATACATTTTTCAGTCATTCCGACAAGTCATGGTAGCGAGTTAGGGGGAGCTTCACTCGGGTGAATCCTTCTCATTTAATGTCAAAACTAATTACTTTTAAAATCGTTTTAATAAGTAGATCATAGTTTTCAATCAAACAACCAAACGATAGATAATGTTTCTAACAATCGAAGTAAGGGTAAATGGACCGGCCCGAGTTGATATTTAAACATACTTGCCCTATCTTGCAAACAATTAAGGTTTATACTTGGGCCCTAATTGGGAGTTTTATTGTGATATTCGGGATGAGTCAAGTTTTTGGCACCGTTGTCGGGGAACAAACGGTTCGTTATTTTGAAAATATTGTTTGGTTTTAATCTAGCTTTTACTTTTCGCTTTTGTGTTTGTGAATCTTGCTTGTGTTAGAACAGTTGTGGTTCTTTTGAGTGAGTGCAAAGAGGTGTATGACCCGGAGTACTCCGACACCTTTGGCACCACTGGATGAGAATCTCAACCGCACTCTTCGACTCTTGGCTCGTGAGAAAGAGCTAGTGGAGGCAAGAAGAAGGATAGAAGAGAGGGGACAACCACAAGTTGGTCCCGAAGAAGAAGTTGTAGTTGAGGAAGAGTATGATTCTGACTCGCACGAAACTACACCGCGAATTAATCCCGACTAGAGCCCAAGTTTTTAAACTCTAGCCGGGTGTAGTATAGGGTAAGTATTTAATTGTCAAACCCGAGTCGACCCATGTACCCCTACTTCAATCGGTTAAGTTGTTATCTAGCAAAACGGTTTTGGGTTTAAAACTATGAAAAATACAAATGAAAACAAGCAAGTAAGGTAGAACGGGTGGAAAACTCTAAGTGAGGAGCTTCGCTCAGGTGTTGCTTTCCCCTAACCGACTACCAAGAACCGTGGGATTGAATGAAGCGGCGTGTGACGAGGCAATTGTGACCCGTTGGAGGTGCAATAATGGTTGGAAACAATTCTCCCAATCACTAGGCCAAGGTAGGGGTCAAAGGCTGTAATTGTAGCCTTCTTGGCCCAAGCAATTGAGGGTTGACTTACCTTCTCCCTCAAACCAAGGGTTTGGACAATATAATTACAATTAACCCATATATCTAATTCAAGCTTAGAGGTTTGCCCTTAATTAACCTAGAATAGATGGCATGGAATGCCCAAGGAAACCTATCTCTAAAAGAGTCTCTTAACCAAATGAGGTATCCTCTCTAAGCTAGGTTAGAATGACAATTAGATTGATAGGCTTTCACACAACACAATCGTTCATGAATAATACCACAAACCTTAAATTAAACACCTCCATCACACAATCATTCAATCCACACAATCAATTACATAATAGGAGTTAGGGTTCTACAACACCCAAGTGAACAAGGAAACTACTCCATGCTAGATAAAGGAAGAACACAAAGGAATAAGAAAGAAACCATCATTGTGATGCCTCCAACTCTCCTTGTGCTTGTAGAACTCCTCCTTGGGAGAGGATCTTCCAAAATCTTCACTTGGATCAAACCCTAGCCTCTTCTCCCTCTTGGTTTGTCACTTTTTTTCTCTCTCTAGGGTTTCAAGAAGAAGGCTCTCCCCCTTTGGGGCTCTCCCTCTCTCTTCCTTTCACCTCACATTATTTACTGGGATCGGGCTCAGTTCATGGCTTTAGTTCACGGCTGGAACTCCTCAACACGTTTGTGAACTCGGAGTGATGTTTCGAAACGCACCGCTTCACTCACTTGAGTTCATGGTTTGCACTCAAAGTTCACGGTTTTGGTGACCGTGAACTCCCTCAGTGTCAGTAACCTCTGAAACCGCCCTAGACGCTTCGCGGTTCACGGTTTATGGTTCCAGTTTATGGCCTTAGGAGATCGTGAACTCCAATGGGAAACCGTGAACATGGCCTGAATTGTGGACGCCCGTGCTTACTGTTACGGGGCAATTGTCACGGTCTTTGGACTTTTCTTCGGTTTTTGCGCTTTTTTGACCTCCAATCGTCCCAAAACTCGTCCTCGACCCTTCCACACGTGCTAGGACCTGAAATTTATCAAAAAAAGCACAACCTAGCGTGAAATATCTCGAGGGACGATGAAAGGCAAAGCCAAACTATCAAGAAATGAGGGGTAAAATGTGTACAATTAGGCCAAAATCACTCCCCCACACTTAAACGTTTGCTTGTCCCCAAGCAAACCAATCTCGAATAAGGTAATATTTCAACCCAACAACAAAAAATTGGGGACCAATCAAAGGGCACACAATGGATGAATCTCAATGTTTATTTGGCATCAACAAATGAACTGTCACAAGCAATACCGACACCCACCACAAACGACATTCGAATGCATTAAGAACGTGCAAATGAAAAGGTCTCACCCTATTCACAAATCAATACAAGTCTCAAGCAGAATACTCATCAAACACAACTAACCATGCATAGAACTCAAGTCCAAGGAACAGACGAATGGGCGAACTAGGTCCTCACCAGGATAAGATATGAACATGCAACACAAGAATGATTCACTCACTCTCTTGACCAGTGGGCTCGAGACCTTTTGATGCGAAGAATGTGCACAATCATCAACACTCGGCCCTATCGTCTCAACACCACGGCGGCAACCTCTAAATGCTAGAGTTCACGGAATGGTTGTCATCACTAGCTTGTTTGGAGGTCTTAGACACGGGTTCAAATGACTGGCGATTGTCTAGGACATGGGGAAAAGGATTTTTGGGTGGTAGCAAACACATTATGAGGTCCTACATCTTTACCCTAAAACCGAAGGTTCTATGGTTTTGGCTAAGAACCTTCCATACAAACAATGGCCACTGGCATCGACCTAAAACCTCACTTCTCCCTTCCAAACTATCACCCATCATGAACTTCCTTTAAGCTCTCTTCCTCGGTCTACTCTAGCTATCACATTTCGATTTGGTGGTGAAGTAGTTCTATGACAATGTGGAGGTTTCAATGGCTTGAGTGCCAAGAAACCTCTCCTAGAGCATACTATTTGATTCCTTGTTACACTCTCTACTTTATTTACCCCGTTTTATTACCACTTTTTCGATTCCTTTTCCTTTCTGCTTTTTCTTTTGAGGAGGGTGCTAGAGAGTAAAACACTTGCCACCTTTACATTTAACGACCAATGCTCTCTTTATAAGATTTCCCTCCAACACTACACTTTCCTTTTTCATTTTCATTCGTAGCAAAGAACCACACACAATTCTCCTCTGTAGAACCTCAATGGAACTCAAAAGCGAGAGTTCCGGGACACAAGGATGACTCATGTACAGAGACTAAGAAAGGATGGGGGTTCGTTCTATCAACACCATTAAGCTCACAAGCAAGAAGCTCCTAACATGAGAACGACTCCCAAAGTCACAAGGCTCAAAGAGGTTGACTAAGGGTTAACACATTTTGGGACAATTAACATTTGGGCGTGGACTAATCCTATGCCTCCATCATACTCACTAGTGACAACTGTGATGTTACTCACCATGGTAAGAGGGATCTAAGCACACAAGAAGAAAACGATCGGCTCAAAACTCACATGGCTACCTAGTCACCCAACCATCTATTCCAATTCACAAAACACAATGCATGGAAATTCTAAACAACAAGTAATCGAGTCAAGACACCCATTCGTTTTTGCACATATGAGAATTAAACCCTTGCACCAACCTAATGCAATTCTCAATAATCATAATAGGATGCACTCGATCACAAGTAAACAATCCAAGATCAATGCCAATAAACAAGAGATCCTCCATCAAATGGCCACAATGATCATGCAATGCTTGGAGCCCTCAATTTTTTTTAATTAGGGCATACATCAAGGCTCCAAGCAATCAGTCACACACACAACCATAATAAATAGACTACCCCCTACACTTAAGCTCGACATTGCCCTCAATGGCGTAAAATAAGGGGTAGAACGATGTTACCGCATAGCTTGGCGAGTGAAAGTAGGGACCGAATTGGGTCGGAGATGAAGAGGAGAGAGCTCC